AGTGCTTGTCCGAGAGCTTGCGAAAAAAACCTCATAAGCTTACTCGGGTGGGACTCAAACCCACGACCTCCTGCTTACTAGTGCAGATATCTTAACAACTCGACCACTGAGCTTGCCGGGGTCGGCTGGCCGGTCCGAGTCAAATGAAGCAGCGGGTACCGCGAACTATTTTCAAGATGTATGTAGGGACACCGTGTTCGTCGTCAACAGGCTGAGGTGATAACAGAAGACGAGGAGGAGACTTTGTGGGAGACTGGAGTGCTTGGCGATGAAACTCCACAGAGACTTGTAGACACAATTTTGTATCTTTTTTTAATTCAATTTGCCCTGCGAGCAGGATCTGAACACCGCCAGTTGAGATTTGAGAACTAACAGCTGTCAGTCCAAAGGGACAGTGACGGATCTCGCTACTTGCTCTATACGGAGGATGTTTCAAAAAACAGACAAAGTGGGTTGAAGCACTGCAAGCTGACACCAAAATGCGTGCGTGCATATGAAAGCACTGAGAACCCTAAAAGATGCATTGTTGAGTTGTACCTAAAATACCTGGCCCATAGACCATCCGATCCCAAATGTAGTTCAGCGTTTTATTTGCGTCCACTGGCAAAACCCAAGTCAGATACATGGTATTCTCGTCAACCTCTTGGTGTAAACCAAATCACTGGAACTGTCGCACACTTGTGCAAAAGTGCCCAATTGACTGGCTTTGGAACCAATCATTCCCTGAGAGCAACAGCAGCATTTAGACTGTTGACTAAAAGCTTTGACGAACAACTGATTTGTGAAACCACAGGTCACAGGTCCACTGCTGTCTGTGCGTAAAAAAGAACTAGTGGCGGTCAGAAAAAGAATATCAGTGAAGCATTGTATGATCAAGAAATAAACACAACGGTCGCACAGTCTGGGCCTTCGACCGTCACTGAAAAAGGATCAGATGGTCGTGTCATGACTTTAAATGTTAATATCAAACTTTGACTGATTGTACAAAGTTGCCAGTATTGAATCAAATGGTCAATATAAGCCAAGTTAAATGTGACAGTTATATTAATTCCATTTAAAACATTTGGCAAAAGAATGACTGAAGAGTTTAATATGTGATTAATCAATAAAAAAAATTGAAAAAATTCCAACCTGACGCCACATTCTAAACCGGAAAAAACAGCAACACATTTTTGGCTCTTAACTTGTCCATCATAAAGTCCACTTGCATGTGAGCATAGATTGGAGTTTGTGGGGAAAGTGTTTCATGGAGTTTGGGGGCCAAAATTCGGGTCAACTTGGTGCATTTTTACTGTGTGCATCCAAAACATGGCGTCAACACAATACAAATGCGCCAAATTCACCAGAATTTTGCCATCAAAACTCCATGAAAGACTTTCCCCACAAGCTCCTCACAGTGCTCATATGCAAGTGGACTCTAGGATGGACAAGTTATGAGCCAAAAACGTGATTTTTTTTCGATTTCAAAAGTTGCGTCAGGTTATAAGAATTTATCCCCAAGTATTTAAGCTCCCGTATTGATTTATTTATGTGAAGAAAAAAAGGTAAGTGTTGAGAACAATGTGTAGCGTGAAATTGCAGTTTTAGGTGAAAGTTGCAGTAATTTGAAGAAAATGACAAAACAAGAAACATTGTGTAAACTGCGTTCCGCAAAGGTGCGGTCTTTTAACGAAATTAAAAAAATGCACGTGTGATGGGTTTGATGTCGTCTGCACAGTTGTACATTTATTTTACATTGTTCAAAGTGTGGATTCGTAATTCAAAGTGTGGATTCGTAATTCCGAATCCACTTTTTTTGACCAGTGTAACAGATTCGTAGATCCGAATCCACACTCTGACAATAGGTGACGTCATATGGTTTAAATTTAATGTCAAATTCTATGTAAGATATGATCAATGACAAAATTTCAAATAGTGCAAGGTATATGCCGCATAGAACATACAGGTAATTCCCACTAGAGTCAAGGATTTATACCTGCAGAAAATGCCTATCTCTGTTGTTCCCTTCCCAGGACAGTCAACCTCTGACGTGAGGCTAGGAATGGCATTTCGAAACTGTCCATTTGCGTTATGTGGGATACAGCTAAAGTGTATGTACCACCACGTAAAATCTAGTCCGAATACTATAAAGTATTTTTATCCTTACAGTCTAAACTCTGGGGAATATCAGTATTACCAAAGTCCAAGAAAGATGACATCCAAATACAGGTAATGACCCAAAATAGGTGCAAAAACGGAAGGTTTTGTGATGTCACTAGGGCTAGATTACCTGTACCGGTATATATGCAGCTACCAGTTCTCCACGGGGGTAGGAACCAATCTATGCAGTGTACACGCTAATGGTTTTTTACAGGCTCAAAGAATTTTGCGTGTTTTCAAAGCTTCAACTTACCCCCATGACAGGCTCTTTCAATTGCACCCCCACTGCCTCAGCTAGCTCGATCGGTACCTTGGAACTAGTAATGCCTGTAATGAACAATGGTGGAATTTGGCCCCTTTGAGTGGAAATAAATGAAATTATTTAAATTACTAATAAACTATACTAAAATACTAATTAGTCATCCCATGCAGGTAATCGGTTTGCAAGGGATGGGGGATTTGGACGCTTTCGTAATGATAATTCCAATATTAAAGAGAGGAGTACAAGGGGAAGGGAAACGACATTGGTGCAGACTGTGAAATGCTGAAAATGTGTCCAATTTTATTCTCATTTTGCCCACATCACCTTTCGAAACTCTGGGCTCTTTTTGAGAAGCTAAAGTCTACTCGCATAATTTTAATATATACGCAAAGTAAAAAAGGTTTAATGGTATGTTTACCAAAACTAGAGGAGGCAGTCCCTTTTCTCTTGTATTTTAACGAATTTCTATATCCTACGAGGTACATGTGGCATTTTCGGATTTATACCCCCTTGGTTCTTCGGCAACAGTGCAGTGGAGCACACTGATTCAAAACGTGTAACTAGATTAAAATGTACCCATTTCTTCTCTTTGTTTTGCATTTCAGCGGGATTTGTGTTGTAGAGAAAAAAAAAGGATGGAGGTGAATGCAATTTGACATTCAATTTTCGCTTCATACAGCAAGCATTCCCCGACTTCAAAAACGGCGTCTGATCATTTCCTACATCTTAATGGTTTTACAATCAAGCCCCATTAACCTAGCCTAACTGTTCAGATTAAGTGAGCTTAGACGACATACAGCACTCATTCAAAACTGTGTGTGAAATCTTAATATTAAGAACTGTTAATGTTAGCATGCTTCATGTTCGATCTATTTCTGAAATAAAATCACACATCATCCTAGTCTGCAGGGTCTGAGTTGGTCTTGGAATCTACTTATAACTTTTCAACCTATAACAGCTGGACAGTATGCAATAAAGCCACTATAATCATTTACTAAAGGAATAGATTACCTGCTGTCACAGCTCGAAGATACAACCCTTATGCAGGCAAAGAAAAATAAAAATCACATTTTACTTCAGTTTTAAATGTTCACTTCATTTGGGTTTTTTGTAGAGGTGTTTATTGTTTAGTGTTTTAAGAGTTGTGAGAAGTTGTGATATTTTGTGAATTACTCTTTTTTTTTACTCACGGCCGGCCATAGTTTCGCCAAAAACTGCGCTTACGTAGCAAAAGAGAGGTCCATAAATACCAGGAATGTACGCCTTCCTGTACACACGCCAAGCCAGCAGTTGTCGAGCGCAGAATTGCATTAGCACGGCGACAGACGAAACATCAAGATGCCAGGAAAAGTTAAAGGTATGGGCCTACTTCTTCCAAAAAGCTGAAATGAAAGGGCGAGGAAATTTTCTGAAGGCACAGAAAGTACATGTGTGCTTTATGAGCAGTTTCAGGCTAACATTTACGAAGCCAAAAATCTGCCTTGCCAGGAGGGCGAAATTATTTGGCTATCAAACAAGTTACACTTGAGAAATAATGGAGAGACAAAACATTTTCGTCAGTTATTTGTTTTTGTTTGCGTTTGTTTATTTTTCTGCTAGGAATATATATAAAGGGCAGTATGCTCAACGCGGAAACGAGTATAAAATTGGGGGATTGCGCGGCATTCACGCTGCTAACTCGATATTGTTTAACACGTTGTATGACAATGAATGTGGTGGCATTTGCCTTGGCCTTCGTAGTTCACAATAAGGGGAGCAACCATAACACCGTATGTTTGAAGAAGGATCAGATAAAGGTGGCGTAGTTCCATCGACTAATATAATCGAAGTCCAGGAAATGCATTCATTTATTGTCCAGGCGTGTTTGACATCCAGGGTAATTTTCAAACAAAGCAGGTGACATCAGTCTTATAAGCAATGCATGTTCAAATAGTGTCTCTATTTAGAGACCCTGTAAGGACTGTCATACCTGATAACACTCGTGCGTTCAGCCAGCCAAAATAAACTGGTTCAATCCAGCGGGCTTGTCTGAGGACCACAATGTTCGGAAATTTGACACTAGACTAATTGAGCCTTCTTATCTCTTTTTCATACAGCGCCTGTTGATTAAAAATTGTAGCTGTTGACTTCGGTTTGCCGAACAAGTATAAAAATAATTCTGTTCTGGTTGAACTAAATGTAGCTGTCTTCCCCCTCCTCCTTAAATAAGGGAGGCTGATTAATACGCGTTCAAGGGAGGCTGATTAATACGCGTTCAAGGGAGGCTG